ATTAAACCGATTATTTCCGCCTCATAGGCAACAAAAACAAATCTGCGCGCACGTGCTGTCCGGCCTTCATCGCAGCTGATTTCTACCGAGACCCTGATTTAGCGGAGAAACCTGAATGAGTTTCATTATTCCTATTGCGATGACCTAATACCTCAATTGTGGCTATGATTTACAAACAATAACATAGACATCTTATGAAACCTTTTAGAAGCGATACATCTTTTTCGTTCCAACAATTTTGATCCTGTGGGCCTAGCACGAATTGTGACAACCGCCTTCGTGCCTTCATCAAAAAGTCAAAATTAGTATGAGATTTATGTCGTACTTTTCACTCGATAGATGTCGCTACACTTAAAAAAAATTGTCAACGACAATAGTATGGCGACTTTGACAAATATTCGTGTAGGAAATACGTTAGGTCTTTTATAACTGACTCAAGTGGTCGGTGTTATGCAGCTGTTGATCGCCATTGATCGTAGCATGTAGAATTTTTGTTCAGAATGTCTACTGTAAATCCTATTACAATGTCCGATAAAATTATGTTTTGCATGAATTAAATCTATAAACCGGTATCAGTCATTCCTTCTATTGCAACGATTTAATAAATTATGTCACCAGTAATTTTCCTACGATGATAAATTGCTACATACATATACAACTAATATTGTTTACCTAGGCTACTTACCGAAGACTTAGGAACATGATATTCAAGGAGTGAAAGGTTTTAATTGGTTACTTAGAACTTTGAAACTTTTTTCTATCCTGTGCTGTAACTGAAATTATTTGACTAATTTTGATGTTCGAGATATTATTAGGGATACCTATAGACGGATATTTTAATAATATGTTTAATGCAAACTCTATCAGAAACATGTTGTCAAGCAAGCGCTATAGCAACAATTAGATCCGGTTCCGGTGCATTATCGCTGTGTTTAATTTAATTAAAATATTAAATAAATTCCAGTCATGCGCGAATTTGAATACCATGTAACATGTGACTGTGTTAGTGAAATTTAGTGTTACAGTGTAACACTCTTTTATTCTATGTGTTACGTAACGTAGTAACTACGTGATGAGTTGACATTTTTTTTTAATTACAATGCACGTTTAAATTTCGAATATAAAAGTGTGTAACTTTCGATTAACTGCATTCAAAATCTTTTAATTCTCGTAATGATAGTAGCTGTCGTCCGTGACTCCGTCCGCTAAGTGTTCTTCCAGACTATGCCAAATTTCAGCAAGGTCCAGTCGTTCTTAAGCTACTTTCTAACAAACATCCATACATCCAAATATCTAAACTATTGCATTTATAATATTAGTAAGAGTAATAAGAAGTAAGATTTATTACGTACTTTAAATGCAAATTTGTAGTTCATAAAACCGGTTTTAAAGTCGATTTGTCGATTGATTGTTATTCTTTAGATTGCATTATAAAATTATTATTAACACGTATTGTACGATTATGATATATCGATTCTATTCGATTTTATTCGATTAATAATATACCGAGGTTTGACGAATAATTGTGAAAACATTATCTTTGCATTAAATTAAATCCATAAATTATATTTATTACAATGTAACTTGATATCTACACTTTATATGTCATTAATAAACTCAAAAAGTATTAGCAATATTTCAAAAATTGTTTTAACATTTAATAGCTACATTATCACTAAAAATTAAAAATGAAAAAAAAAATCTGCTAGTTTAAATTAAAATGATTTTAAGATATTATAATATATTAAATAAAATAGAGCGTCGGTCGCTCAGGGGTCAAGCACTTGAATTGCAATCTGCAGGTCCTGGGTTCGAATCCCACCATGTACCAATGTGTTTTTCGATTTCCGATTTACATTATGTATTTATCCGACGTTCTTACTGTGAAGGAAAACATCGTGATGCAACCTGCACATATCTAAGAATAAATTCAAAGTCAACCAACGTACTTGGCCGGCGTAGTTGACTATGGCCTAATCACCCTTAACTTAGGGTAGGCTCCGAGCCCCTGCGCGGGGACGTATAGTGTGCTGATGATAATGAATATGTTAAATACTTTGAATCTATTTATTTAACATGTCAAACTGAAGCAGTCTTATATACGCGTGCTAAGATTTACGCGTGTTCATAAATTGCATGCGCCTAATGTGCAGTAGGAGATGTGATTTGATACGGATAATTTACCCTGTGTCATGAATTATAAAACTATGCCCATAAAGTTTAATATACAGAGAGCTACAATTTACAAAAAAAAAAAAAAATTCATAAAATTTACACTTTTTTTTATATCATAAGGTGGCAAACGAGCGAGCGGCCACCTGAAATAGCTGATATAGCGAAGTGACCGTTGCCCATAGACATACGCATATGCGTTGCCTACCTTTAATCGACGGAGGGGAGGATGCACAGAAAGAAAATATTTTCCCTTCCCATGCATCCTCTCATCTGGAAAGTCCACTTCCACTTCCCATCCTTTCCTTATAAGAAAAAGGGTGCGAAGGGAAAAAGGACTAAATTAGGCCTCCGGGACGCACACTCATCAGACGAAACGCGGAATTACTTCCACTTCACGCCTGTCTTCTGTGTGGTCGTGGTATTTCACCGGGCGAGCCGGGCCGATTCGTGCGAAGATGTTAAAGCGGGCTCTACCACTGTTAAACACTTACACTACTTTTATCCACAAATAAAAAAAAAAACTAAACACGAACAAATATGCAAATGTCTAGCAAAATCTCGCTTCTTTTGTTATATTAATTATTCGTTTACGCATACATAGTGCAAACATAATTATACTGGATGTTATATAATTATAATACGCAATAGAGTAAAAGGAACGTATTTATCTGCGGACGTCCGGACGCACAGGCTCGTAATATGTGCACTAAGGCCTTGGCTCTAATGATAATATTCTCTTATCAAATTGGTACAAATGGAACATCGATAATTGACTGACAATAAGAAAAATGCATTGATGCTATATATGAATAGGCGATTGCTTGGAAATTATAACTTTTGCTTCGTTCCGATTTCGATCCGTCTGTTGATGTTACGTGACAGTTAATGCTGTCTATACTATTAGTTAGAATCCTCAACACCGCTACAAACTTGAACCATCAGCGCCTAAATGGTGAAAATAAAATAGGCACAAAATACTACAGCCATTGAGGTTAATTGAGCAACCTATCTAACAACAATATTGCCATCCCTCTCATTTTATTTAAATTAAAAAAAAACAGTAATTTTGCCTGGGTCAAATTATGCCATACAGTATGACTGTAGTTCTGGCCTAGTATGGACTGTGCTTACTGGCGCTCGTTAATGTTTACATTAAGACAGTTGTATTCCAGTTGCTTTTGAGCGCCATTGTCCTACTGTACTGGCATTATGGATACAAGGCATAACATTATGTTTATATGCAGGTTTTATAACAGTCGAAAATAGAATCAAATGACGCTTCATCTAAAGGGTAGGAAATATACGTCCTCTGCTACACCAGCATCGTACTTATAAAATGGTGTAATTAAATAGATTATCTATGCGTCAGATCGACCTCAGCCACTGGTTTTTAAACGTAGAGGAAAATACCTCGCAACCAAACAAGATGGCGAGGTCAAATGACGTAGCGAACTTTTACCGCGCAAAATCCTGTCAAATAGTTTTTCGACACGCTCTAATTATATCTATAATTGAATGAAAATAACAAAGATGACGCTGAAAAGTTAATATTATTTTAATAACTACTTTAGAAAGTTGGATACAATTTAAAATAATCATAATTTTAATTTCTTTAAAAAATTTCGTGCAATTAAAAAATGTTAATTACCTTTTACTCTCAATGTACAAAAAATGTTTTATAATTTGTGAAAAGAACACAATAAATATTTAATTTAATAGACGTAAAACACTAGAAGCTACATAATAAACGAAATAGAACTACGTAACATTAACACCCGCCTGTTGGTATGTCTGTTAGCTTGTCAATAAAAATGTTTTCTATATAGACTATCCGGTCCTAACATACATACAGTGGAATTATTTTATTGTGAGTCAATTGGGCTCCATTCACTTTTCATTGCGGCCGCTCGCTCGTGGTAATGACCTCTTTATCCTCAAACTAATTACATTAATACGCTCTATAGATTATCGCAGTCGATACAGATAAAAAATAACTTTTAAAGTAGCCACAGATTATCGTTATGAAATTTATGATGTATTATAGATTAGCTATTACTGTTTATTTATTAACTAGCGGTCGCCCGTGACTCTGTCCGATCGGAATTAATAAAAAAAACATAATTGGTAGCGTATTTTTTCTTCCAGACTATGCATGCTAATTTTTATTAACTGTGCTGTAAATTGGGTATACGCGTCACAATATCGTGTTTCAACAGACTGATATCTAAGCACGTCTACGCAGTGTCGGACTCTCGAACAAACATTTTTTTCGGTTGCTCTGCAGCGCGACCTTGATCCGTCGCGACGTTACCTAACTCACGTTGTTATTTGTTTTCACATCATTATTTCTAGGAAGTCAATTTTGGAACAGTTCCGGGTGTTCGGACTTCGGGGATATGCCATGCCATTTACGTCCGTGAACATTTATCTCGCATTATACTGCTCAAGTCAACTTAAAGGTTCATTAGCTATTGTTTAGACTAGAGTTATTGCTGTGGAAATCCGGGTAGGCGTGGATCGGTTCATGACAGATCTATTTTTGAATGTTCCGTTGTTTTATAACAACAATGAAAATATAATACTATATTATAACTACTATAAATCGAAATAATATTTATTTATGTTTGTTTGATGATATAAACATTGCCAATTCTGAAAACCGTATATGAATTACCGATAACCCACTAGGATTCGGGATACAGAAAATTCTCATCTCACTTAGATTATTTAATCTGCGTCTAGCGTGAGTGTTGTGAATAGGTACTGATAGATAGGATTAAACGATTTATAGCGACGAATAATAACCTTTTTTTCTATTGTTGCAGAGCGAATCGAGCTACACCTCATCGGAGGAGGGTTGCGGCGGCGCGGGCGGCGGGGAGCGGCACGCCGTGCTCAGCTACGAGCAAGTTCGGCGCCTCAACGATGTTATGGACGAGGTAGTGCCCATCCACGGGCGCGGCAACTTCCCCACGCTGCATGTGCGCCTGCGCGAGCTCGTGGCCGGAGTGCGCGCACGCCTCGAGGCAGCTGTGGCGGCGGGCGGCGCGGGTGTGGCCGTGCGCGACGTGCGCCTTAACGGTGGCGCTGCCAGTCATGTGCTCGCCGACCGCGCGCAGCCCTACTCCGACATCGACCTCATCTTCACCGCGGAGCTCCCCACGGCTCGCCATTGCGATCGCGTGAAAGCCGCCGTGCTTGGCCACCTGGCAGCGCTGATGCCACCTGCGACGCCGCGCCGTCGCGCCTCGCCCGCCGGACTCAAGGAGGCCTACGTCTCCAAGATGGTGCGCGTTAACTCAGACGGCGACCGCTGGTCGCTTATCTCGCTTGGCAACTCGCGCGGCCACAAGTCTGTAGAGCTCAAGTTCGTGGACACGATGCGCCGCCAGTTCGAGTTCTCCGTGGACTCGTTCCAAATCGCGCTCGACTCGCTGCTAGCTTTCCACGAGTGCGCGCAGCTGCCCATCGGCGAGAACTTCTACCCGACGGTGGTCGGCGAATCCGTGTACGGGGACTTCGATGAAGCGCTGCTGCACCTTACCGAGAAGCTGATCGCGACGCGGCGGCCCGAAGAGATCCGCGGCGGTGGTCTGCTCAAATATTGCGCACTGCTCGCCAAGGGCTACCGCGCCGCTTGCCCTGACAAGATCAAGACGCTGGAGCGCTACATGTGCTCGCGGTTCTTCATCGACTTCCCAGAGCTGGGCCAGCAGCGCGCCAAGCTCGAGGCCTACCTGCGCAACCACTTCGTGGGCCACGAGGAGGAGGCGCTCAAGCACAGGTACTTAATGATTATTCCCTTCTCGGTTTTAACAGTTCACTGTTAACGTAAAGTTTGATTGAATTTAGCGCCCATTACTTTTAGGTTGATGGTGAAAAAAATAGTTGGCAACCTTCAGTAAACCTCCCTTACAAACTAAAAAGAGCTTTATAAACGTTGTAAAGACTAACAAGATTTTAAAAGAGCGGTCAGTAAGTAATGTATTGTTGCAGGTACCTGACACTGCTGCACGGCGTGGTGCGCGAGTCTACGGTGTGTCTGATGGGCCACGAGCGGCGGCAGACGCTGGCACTCATCGAGACGCTAGCATGCCGCGAGCTATGCGCGCGCGCCCCTATCATGATGCCCGCGCCCATGGGCGCTGTGGGCGGCATGGGCGCAATGGGCGGCATGGGCATGGTGCCCGGCTACGTGGTGTGCGTGTGTGCATGCGCGGCGTGCGCCTGCATGTGTGCGTGCGAGTGCTGCCGTGTGCCGCTGTGCCCGGCGTGACCCGCGCGCGCCCCCCCAGTGCCAAATGTATATAGTACGTACGGCGCGCGCCTCGCCCCAGGCCCGGACGAGGCCTGACCCGCCCGGACCGCCCCGGATATCTGCGCTTCGTATACTTTGACGGACGTCAATTTGCTCACACTGAACCCTGATCAATTTTCGTCAATTTCGGACGATCCTTTTCTCAATTTGCCAATTTCGTTTGTAAGCGTTACCGGATCGATTGTGGCGTGAGATAATTTCTAGTCGTACTCCTTGCGTGTTGATCCGTTAATATGTTAGCAGTACGAAAATTATGGTCACGTGAGGGCGAGACGGGGGTCCGGTCCGGGCCGGGCCGGGTCCGGACCGCGCCCGGCCGACGACGGTCTGCTGCAAACATTAGTTAATTATTTTGTAAGCTTTGTATGTATCAAGTGTTGGTATTGTAGCGACGCGTGTCTCCGGACAGCGACGGGAGTACAGGGGGATCAGAGCGGACTCACGTTACGACGCAAACTCTGGAACGGTGCGAGATTAGTTTGCAAGTCTGATAGTGTGACCGGCCGCCGCAGCGCGCCGCCGATATATTCACAATCATTGGGTAAAACTTCAGTTCCTTGGCGAAGAACTAAAAAAAAAAAAACTATTTTATTAAATGCATATTTATTCGTCTAAAATATAATATAGATTCCATTTCGTGAGCGCTCTAGTATTGTATACGGCTTGGCGTGCGAAGCGACAAATTAAGGTTACTATTAACATAAAAAATAAAAAATCCCAAAAAAAGTTATATCTAAGGTGTGTACAATATTAAAGTAACTCGTCTTTATCTAGAAACACAGTATAACGCATATTTTAAGAACATTTACGAGTAGGTGGTAGCCCTGTACTTACGGGCGTGTCTCCTTCCCAGCCCTGAGTACGTCTCTGGAAAAGTAGGCGGTATGAAAAAATGTGATTTTATTGTTATAGAGTTAAAATGTTGTCGAGGATTATTATATATAAAATAACATAACATTATTGTCTAGTTACATTCAATATAGAGATATATTATTGTTGTATTTTAATTATATATAAATAAATATATAAATATAGAAAAGACGGCGTAAACTGTGTCCGGCCAAAATATGCATGTCTTATATTTGCCAACGCATGTGTAAAAATATATGTATACAAGAGTAGCTAGAATTGATACTTAGTTATTTCTCGTAGGCTACGTATCTGGATGTAAACAAGTACAATCAGCTTCTTAGAGATATCTTAATATTCAACTTGAAAGTTACAAACGAATCATTTGGCTTTATAAACCAAAATTAGAGATCTCATTTTAATAAAGAAATTTAATAGACATTTGTTACAGCTATCCGTTGTCTTGTAAATTGCTTCAAATGAACATTATTTTTTTTTTAGAAGTTGCGTTTTTCCGGAGATTGAAATTTTTAAAAAAGGTTTTATAGACAAACAGTTAAATATTTTAAACATAACTTACTAATCTGTTGACACTTTGTGTACGCTCAAAACGATCTCGACGAGTTGAAAGAAAAAAAATTGCTTCTATTTACTTTACGTTTTACCGTGGGTTTCTGAGACCAGAACATTCGTTTAAAATATATTATCTCTGTTTTGTCAAAGATAATGACAGTGATGATAAGTTTTATACGGAAATTTTGATCTCGGAGACCCACAGTTACTAACGATTTCTAAATCATCTTATACATACTTCTACAGGGTATATGACTTTTAATTTTGATTTTATGTCAAAAAATTAACGCTTCTCTGTCCTCTTATTGATATATCTCGAACAAAATACAAAAATATTGTATATTTTTAACATTTTATTAAGAATTAAGATTTGAATCGTTATATTTGTAATGTCTATTAGCCTTTTTGATGGAAATACATTAATGTAAATAAATAATATATTCGCTCAGGGAAGACGCAGCGGATTTCAAAATGTATTAGATCTAAATATACATAATTGTAATTCAATATCGTCTGTACTTAGTAATAAATGAAGTACATAATGTAGCTAAAAGTAAATACATATATTCCATTTGATATAAGAATGAATGTAAGTTTATTATATATCTCAATGTATCGAAGCAGGCGTCTAAGTTGTGATTTATAGTCTTTTCGACAGGTTTTTTCTCATCTTTATTGTCGTTTTATAAGCGGTCCTTCGAGCAGGATAAAAAGTAAACTATTGCATATACGACAAAATATAAAGATTTAAATTTTTGTTTATATTTTAGTTGTCATTTTTATTATGCTCGAAGCACTTAGTTTTTGCATCTGTGATTGTTAATGTAATATATAGATCAGCTATCGGCAGACTAACTACCTCCTCGGTAACTACAAATTTCTGCAGAATAACTTGTATTATTTCTTTGTGAAGTTTACTCTTTGATGAGCATAGACTAAGAAGTAATTTTCATAGAATGGTCATTAAGTACAAAAAGACAAGTTGCTCACAAACGTATACAACTGAAATGCACAGCGGCGGCTTTTAAGACTTGTCTGTTGAAATTATTTCAATAGTCTGTGAAACCAATATCATCTATGACATTTTGTAATCACATAAAAAAGAGAGCTTTCGATACATATGTCATGTATGTAGCTCGGGGTTCTTTTTAGGTTGGCTGTCATATGTCAAAGCACGTCGACACGCGATGTTCTTCCATACAACCAGTTACTTAAGGAGACTCCTACGGTCTAAAGTCTACGAAAAGCGTTATATCTTTTTAAAGAGAGACATTGCAATGTAGTATAGGGTTTTATTTTTCTATAGTTACCATGAGTTTTCAGCTAGCCTTATTTTATAATGTTTTAATTTTTAAATATATAATGAGAACTGGTCTATTTGGGTTTGCATGCTTTTCCTTAAGAAAAAATGGCGGTAAAATTAAAGAGTAACTGTAGATTTCTGAGAACAAAATCCTCGTTTAATATATTGAGATGTAGGTCTCAGAAACTAACTGTTAAAGGTTGTTTTGTCAAGATAACGTGAACAAGGTTTTATTACACAAGATTGTTTGAAATGCATTTCGTTGTGCCAATACTTGCAATGCCAATTGTACATTTTATATAATTATGAATTAAATCGTTCATTTCTTTTTTTATTATAAATAAAATATAATATATTCAGAAAAATAGACCATATTTATTATCATATTAAATTATATTTATTCAATTTTAATTCCAATTAAAATAGTTAATTTCTTTCTCCACAAAACATATTAATAAAATAGCAAAATTTGTTTAAAATGTAACATATTAAAAGGAAACAATATACAAATGATATTTAAAATTTAACAATTAAATTTAATTACCCATATCAGTGGCAATTAAATCGGCAATTAGGAAGAAATAAAATATATCTGAAAATAAAACACGATCGCAAGTTGAATTAAATTAAGGCCAGTAGAGAGGTTAAAAGTTATTCCACTTGAAGTTAAAGTTGTGTTAATTATGATAATCAAGTTTTATTGCTTACATTTGACTTAATAATTTAAAAAAAAATAATTCCATAATTTCGACAACGGAATAAAAGAGTTACATCTGTCATGGGATCTTTTACATATGACTCTTTTCAACGGATGAATCTATTTGTCTTTAGTAACCTCTTAACAAAACAACTCATTGCCTATTACTATGAAATAGAGCGTGTTCTAAACTACAAGATATTATTATAAAAGCAAAGCATGCAAGCGCCAAAGACAATGCGCGGTTTCTAATTTATAACTACGTTGACAAACAGCAGCGGTGGTCATAATTCCCTAAAATTTACCTAAAAAGTAGTAATTCTAAATTTGTACCTAATTGAGAAACTTGTTATTTTTTCATATTTTGTAACGATTAATTGGTGATGTTATTTTAATGTATTCGACTGGTAATAAATGTAATTGACTGCAAATATATGTATTTTACTGGTAATAAATGTAACTTACTGAATGGTTATGTATCTTACGAACTATTATGTAACATACAATCCAGTATAATGTATTTTACGAAGGTTAAACCCGGCGAAAAGAGTTACATGTGAGATGTAACTCTTTTCGTCAGATGGATCCATTTACCCCGTTGTTGTTTGTCAAACCGAGTTGCGACGAGACCGCGCCGTGTCTCGCGCCGTTCATATGTTACCAACGGTCGCGCGGCAGCCCGACAGCCCGACTCTCTAGTGTAGGGACGCTAGTTCATAACCTTATGTTAAACTTAGGCTTACTTAGTTTCTATCAGATATATTTACTGTAGCTATAATTTTTTTTTCTCTTCCATGTTGCCTGTTTCGTATTAACACGAAGCGTGTATACGCCGTTGTTGGGTTACATAAGACCGCTATATATTTGTGAGAAGTAAATGCTATCGTAAATTTTCCAGAAAATTATGTAAAAAATGTTGTGAAAAAATTATAAAAACAAGATAAAGAAAATAAATTATAAAAAAGTGATAAACAGTGATATTGTGTTTCTTTTTATTTACCTTTACCCCTCTATTACAATGAACTAGAAAACTGCAAAAGATCTATTTTAGTATTGTTAATTTTACTTTGAACAATACATATTCATAATATTGTGTGAGGTCAGAACACTGCTAACTAAAAAGTACTTCCATAGACTCTCTCTTATACTCTTCTACCACAAAATTATAATACACCGCTTCATCAAATGAAAGAAATCAATACGATTTATACCGTACTGGAAATCATGCTCTAAAGTGGAATTCTATAACAAGGCAAGGGTGGTGAAACTAAACGCTAGTTAAAAACAGATTTACTTGAACACAATTCATCTCAATTAAGACAAAGAGGTTACCGTAGGCTAAAATATTTATAAACAATTATATACACAAGTTTTAATTGACAAGGTTTAATGTCACAATAACACATTTTTCATAAGTGTTATTGCACTTGACTTTATCTCAATGTTTTTAAATCATTTATAAACTCTGTTACTACGTGAAAGAGAATAAAAGTTTTATACTGCTTAGCAACTATTTAGTTGGAAAAATAGTTAAATGATCTAACAGAAAGGAGAAATCTTGACCTTATCCAGAAAGGGCGATTGTCTCGCGTGTATAACGAGTTTCGAGAGAATTTAGGGACGAATTCAGTCAATCACGCACAAATCGAGAGTAGCGCGATGTTACAGCGTATCTAGCTAAGTTTCAAACGAATTCACCCCTACTGGAGAAGATCTTAGAGCTAAAAATAGGGTAGAACTCTGAGAAATTTTATAAAACAAAAGCTTATAGCAAAATTAGGACCTTTAAACATATGGTAACCGGGCCTTAAGTTTCATCGGGAAAAAATATGCTTGTTTCCAATATGCTAAATCAAATTGCATGTTTATTACAGAAATCAACAAGTTTGAATGCATCTATAGATGAACATAAAAACTAAAGAAAAATGTCTAAGGGTATGTTCATACCAAACGCGTGATCAGCCGCCGACTATTAGCAGATTCACTATGTGATTCAAGACGAACTTGAAATCATATTAAAAAGTACCTACGCTATAATAACGTAATGTCGATTTAGAGTCCACCAAATTTGAATTAGATAAAACCACTTCGCCTTAACATTGAATTTCTACTGCTGTGACTTGTATTGACGCATATTGTTATCCCTTACATTCTTATTGAAAAAATAGAGACAACAATAGCATCAATCAAAAATAAGGCCAGTAGAATTATCATGGCAGTGAAAAGCCACTGGAATTTCTGTCAACTTATTCCAGTTTATGTCTCCTACGAAAAGAGTTAC